CAAGTAAAGATACAGGTGGAAATGGAGCCTAATGCCCCCCCCCCCCCCCATACATAGAAACAGTAACCCTGCAGAAAAAATAATACCACTCCCTACACATAAAAAAACAAAAACTATCCCTGCACAAATAAAATACACCCACCCATAAAAAAGTACTACTCCAGGACAAATAAAAGAATACAATTTCCCCCCCATACACATAAAAAATAAATACTAACTCTGCACAAATAACATAATACACTCCTCCCCCCCACACATGAAATAATGAAATACAATCCCAGTCCCCCCCACATATAAAATAACATACAGAGCCCCCTCTGCTGCTTTCCTTTTCGCAGGGAGGAGGCACGATCACTGGTGATTGATAAGGTCTGCTGCAGACCTTACTAATCAATCCTTTTCGACCAGCGCTCAGTAAAAGATTTCAGAGTGCTGGCTGAAAGGATCCGAGTGTCAGCACAGAGGAGCAGCTTTGTGGTCTGCATCCGACAGAGATGCAGACCGTGTAGCTCCTCCCGCAGGTCAGGTACGTGGTCCGTGACCGCGTACCTGACTTGTGACCTGGCTGCAGGCCACAAAGTACCGGCTCACGGGCCAATCCGGTACTTTGATACCACTGCTATACATGAAATGGGCAACTAAACATGCACAAAAAGGGCTCACACCTGTTATGACGTTCCTAATGCTGCTTACAGCCACAAGTAAAAGGTAACATAGTATCCAACACATTTTTTTGCCAAAACAATATGCCTGATCGCAGGAAATTTACTGAAGCTGGTAGGCAAATTTCGGAAATGAGACTGTTAAAGATGATATTGAATATAGTATGTACCTGTCCACTGGACTTGCGCTTCTTCTTCTCAGGACATCCCAGTTGTGGACCTGATCTCATTAATCCATCCAATCCTCCAACATCACCTGTCAAATGGAAGTCACATACTATGACACAATGAACCAGTGCAGTATGTGTATACTTAATGTATGTGTATAATGCAGTATGTGTATACTTAATGTGTAATTTTTTATTTTATTTTTTGAGGGCTTGTTCACACCATATACAGTGCATTCCAGCACGGTTAGCTGCTGGAACACACTGTATCGCATAGTAAACTCCCCCCTGCATTGTGGGGCGTGGCGGTGCATTGAAGTCAATGGCAACGCAGCCACACCCCCCTACCTGTAGTGTGATCGCCCGCACCAGAACGCAGGCACAACAATGCCTGCGTTCGGTCCAGTGCGACGCACTGGACTGCAACGCAGGCACTAATGTGCCACGCATTCTGGTGCAGACAGGGGCGTGGCTGCAGTGCCATTGACTTCAATGCACCGCCACACCCCCTTCCACCCCATAACGCAAGGAGCCAGCAAGAATGCGATACAGTGCATTGCAGCCGAATGATTGAGCTGGAACGCACTGTATATGGTGTGAACTAGGGATGCACAGATACTTTTTGAGTACCAGTGCAGATACTGGGCATTTTCATGAGAACTACCAGAGTTGCAGCGGTTGCTGCTGAGACCTTGCTCTGGTACTCCACCACTGTCCTGAAATCATTAGTCTGTATTGTTTTAGAAAAACTGTCACGTGACAATAAACAAAAATGTATCAGTACTCGTACTTGTAAGTACTCGGCAAGTACCAGTACTCGTACTCGCAAAACTGGTATCGGTGCATCACTTTATTTATATTTATAAAAACTAAATCATACATTAAAACAGAGATGTACAAATCCCAGGAGCTCCGTGTGCTCCTTACAAATGACAGCTGCCTCCTAATTGTTGATTTTTTCTCTAGTGTAGTCTTGTAGCTCAAAAGTATCGGTACATGTACTCGTACTTGTACCGAGTACTGTACTTGGTATCTGTGCAACCCTAGTGTGAACAATGTGAACAAGCCCTTAGAGGAACTTAACACTTATCTTTGAAATGACAACAAACACCCCTTTAGAAATGTTTAGTAATGACATCTATCTACAAACACATACTTCTAGATAATTGCCGGCTTTGTATTCTTTGCATACCTTATTTCTCTTTTCTTCCCCAGTCTTCTGACAGTGGCCATTTTAACTAAGGGCAGATGAATATATGTCCCTTTACTTCCTGGAACTCTGACACATGTGACTAGGACATGTGACCATACACATTATCTCAGTGGAGGAAATTGCCTTTCCCTGAGATCTCATGAGATTACAGATGAGATTTCTCAGCTATGCTCTGCTGATGTAACAATCCCAAGATGCAATACTTGGGCACATTACATCACTAATGCCCAAGACGACCAGGAAGTGGAAAAACAATAATTGTAAGTAAAAGAGAAATGTGTCTGTCTGTTTACCTATTGAATGTAAGACGATTTGATGTCAGCATGCAGAGCTATGGGCTGATGTGATTTTTAGTGAAAGAGGGTAAAAGGTTCACTTTGAATTTTACAGTTGTCACCAGAACAGGAGGCGTAGGGGGAATCTTTCAATGGAGAAACATGTTCTTGTGACAACTAACAGCAATTTTCATCTTTCCCTTCATTTTTGAAAGATTTCAACTCACTTTCTGTTTTGTCTCTGGGACAGGAGAGTGATGGAAAATCTCCAAAATGGTACACAACCGAAAAACTGACGGGTCGTCCAACTAATCGATTTTGAAAATAATCGTTAGCTGCAGCTCTAGGTTTAACTCTACCACACTTTATCCAAAACGAAGAAAAAACTACTAGCATTAGATACATTTTAAGACCCACATCAAAATATTACTTTAGGTCCTCAGCGCCCTCGCAGTTGCTCCAACAGCTTTTGTTTTTACATGCTCCTTTTCTTGGCACATGTGCAGAGCTGGATACATTATTTTTTATATTTTCTATGTTAACAAGAAATGTTGACACACATTCCCTTATATGCTCCTAGGCAGAGCAGGCAGCACAGAAGTAGCATTTGGATGTTCAATGTGCAAACTAAGGCTCCATTCACATATAGCATTTGCGTTTTCTGTGCGGAAGACCGCACGGCACAAAAACGTTAACATCTTTTTATAGTTTATCCGATTAATCGAACTTAATAATCGGCTAACTAATCGATTTTGAAAATAATCGTTAGCTGCAGCTCTATTTACATGTGCACAGATTCCGCTCGTTTGCGGCTATTACAATAATCACAAATGCGCGGAATCCGCCCCTGAAATCACACTTGGACTATTGGAGATTTAAAATGCATTGTTTTGTTCTGTTTAGAGTGGCTCTGCGCGTATTCGTAAACCGCTCATGTGTGAATGGAGCCTAAGAGTGCACTGAACATCAGTGTATAACATGCTAAATAGGTTCAGAAATCACTTTGAAACCCAAAAATGTTATATATTGCAGGTTACCAATTATTTTGTGTTTTTTTTTTTAGGCTCCCCCCCTTTATTTTCACCTAGTGATCCAACCAGTAAGTCTTTTATTATCCAACTTCCTTTAACAGGCCAAGCTGTCCAGCATAAGGGCAGGTTCACACCATTTTCCGGAACAGAACTGGTCCAGAAAATGGTGTGAACCTGCCCGCAGTTCCAGTACATTCCAGACCAGAGAAAATGAGACAAACAGTATTTTTCTGGTCTGGAACAGACTGGGCTGGTGTGAACAGAGGCCAGAAATAGCATAGGGATACATTAGGATGCATTTTGGGTCTGGAAACAGTCTGGTCTGGTGATTATCTGGAGGTGGTGTGAATGGGCCCAAATGTCAGATAGAGGGTTGAGATAAACCATTTAACACTGACAGGGGTGCTGACAATCAGCTGTAATCCATTTATGTAAAACCTTTATTAATTCAAAACTGTTGCTGTAACTGCTTAAAAAGTGTTAGCCAGAGTTCAGATTTTATTTATTAAGAAAGTTTATCTTAATCTGCTAGTCCATCTAACACTACCCTCTCCACAGGGTACAATGCTGCTGTCCAAGGGTGACTCTATAGTGTGGCAAAACCATAAGACAGGATCTGTGTTACTGGCCAGATCACAAGATACAAATAAAATAAAAAGCCTAAAAAAAAGAAAAGAAAACCAATGCAGCCGCCACATTTATTGATTAGTAACCTGCAATATATTAGATTTTAGTTTTTTGATTAAGATCTGCTTCAAGGCCTCATTCACACGTGCAGTGTCAAGTTTGCCTTTAGTCCAACTAATATCCCACCACACTCCTGTCTGGCATACCCCTCGAAAATGTGTGTGCTGAAGTGGCCGTCGCTCATATGTATGGAGATACAGTGTGTCACCAGCACACCAGAAATGTGTCCAATAAAACGTCTTTATTGACAAATATACATTATGTCATGAGAACGGCAAGGTTTCTGGGCCACACAAGATCCCTTCATCAGGGTGAATATGACAATATAATGCAATTTACAATGGTCCTTCTATACTCACACCACTCACTCACACACACACACACACACACCACCCCTGTGAGTATAGAAGGATCATTGTAAATTGCATTACTGGCATATTCAGCCTGATGAAGGGACCCGGTGCGGCCCTGAAATGTTGCCAATTCTTGTGACATAAAAGTGAATACATCAATACAGACATTTTATTGGACACATTTCTTCTGTGTGCTGGTGACATACCGTATCTTCACAAATCTGCCCTTAGAGCACATTTCTAAATGTATACAAAACAAAAAGCAGGTAAAATGTAAGTGGAGCCTAAAGCTGCCCACACACTGTAATATTTACTTTGTTCGACCCGCAGACTGAACAAAGATAATAGAAGATTCCTCCATCAACACGTACGAGTGTTGGTCGAGGAATCTCTCGTAGTTTTTATTGTATTCTGACAGCGGCAACAGAGCTGGCGACTTGCCAGCTCTGTTCGTGCGAAGATTTTCCAACCGGCACCTTTGATCAGCTGGTTTTCCTGGGTGTGTTTTACGCAGTATGCAAATATGCCTGTATTTACTCCTGAGTAGGTCTCTGTACATGAGAAATGTCCTCTTCTCAAATCTTAAACCCAGCGCGGGACACTGCAGGTATCACATGCTGGCTCTATAGATCGCAGTGATCGCATACCGCTGGTCAATATACTCCTTGCAGAGAGTGGTGACCGTCAGTCATGGCTCCCCGCAGGGATTCCCCCCCTCCCCTCTCTCCATTCCTCCAGCACTCATTGGAGGGACAGAGGAGGGGGCGGGCACAGCTGGCTCTGGCTCTAGAGAGGCAAAGCCAGCTATCAATTTAGGTACGGGGGTGGATCCCAACAATGTTGTCGGGATCTTTCCCAGATGTACTTTGACCCAAAAGAGGACTAGAGAAAAAAAAAAGTTTGGCTTTAGTCCTCATTTATAGTTTATGTAAACCCTAAACATGAACTCATCTTACTTATTATCATCTGCAATGTTAAATACACCATTACATGCATTTTGGTATACCTATTGATCCGGCCAGAAATCCTGCGAGCTGCTAACTCCCATTGTATGAGTTACATTGTTCCCAGCTATCTCTGTGGACTACAAAACACATCATCTAATGTTATGGAGAAGAAAAGCAGAGGAGGTGTACCATAGCCCTGTCCTAGAGTGGCAATGCTGCTCCTGCATAGACATAGTACAATGAGGGGGGATTTATCAAAACTGGAGCAGACAGAATCTGGAGCAGATTTGCACTGCAACCAATCAGCTTCTCGGTCTAATTTTCAAATCTCAACAGAGCAAACTGAAGAGAGAAGCTGATTGGTTGCCATGGGCAACTGCTCCAGTTTCTCTCTGTTCCAGTTTTGATAAATTCCCCCCACAGGGAGCACCACGTGAAACTAAAGGGAAAAAAAAAATGAAAAAAAAGGACACTGATGTGGCGACCACCACATGAAAAAAAAGTGGTGCTACAGCAAGAATTTAAAGAAATGCTTTTCTGGGCAATATATTATTATTATTACATAGTATTTATATAGCGACAGTAGTTTGCGCAGCGCTTTACAATATAAGGAAGTCATCACAATACAATTCAAGACAGGATGGTAAGGAGGGCCCTGCCCCTGAGGGCTTATAATATATATATATATACATTATGTTCGATCTGAATTGATTATTGGTAAAAAGTATGAGCGTCTAAAGAAGAACTCCTGGAATTGTTTATGAACTCTTGCAGTGTGGCTCCGCATCGCAAGGGTTAACTCATCATTTGTGCCTAGGTTAAAGAAAAAACCCCAAGGATATACTTAGCCAAAGCTCTGAGCCGGCTTCTCCTTAGACTGGTCCTTGGAATGTATTTTCCCCTCCTCTAGCAGTGGTCTGAGGTCCAGTAATCCATCACGTTCTCTACACAATGCATAGACCTGAGGAACATTCCCATGTGCTGCAGAGGAGGAGACAGGCTGGAGGGAGCACTGTGACAGCTGACCTGCTCTGAGCTTTGGGTGAGTATAACTTTGTTATTTTAGCACCTAGACACAAACAAGCACTTAACCCTTGCAGGGGTTAAGTGCTTGTTTGCTGCAAGGGCCACTGCAAGGGTTAATAACAAAAAACCTTGGAGTTCTTCTTTAATAGTGCTTTAAGGCTAGATCAAGCATGGGGATTTTATAGACAGGTACAGTCTGTTCCACTATTATTTCCAGCACAGTAGAAGGAAACAAAGATTCTGTCAAGTGCGTAGGCTTCCAATGGCTGCATTCATAGCGTCACCTCTGGCCTCTATTCTTTCCATGGTTTTATTGCACACAAAGTACACCTTACATTCTATTGAATTGGCCCATCCCCACATTTACTCCAATAACTTTATGCTTTTCAAAACCAGGTCTGTTCTATTCTCTGGAGGTCACAAAGCCATGACATTATGTGCAGTGGAGACAATACTCTGAGGAGGTCAGTTGTTTGCAATACTTGTATAAAGACGATCAAACTTCAACTAGTCTACAGCACAGCGAATGTATACATGGAGGAGATCATTATATAGCACAGCTGAAGAAATCCCAGGAGCCAGGTCGCCAATGCTCCTCAAAAATGACAGCCGGCTCTGATCTTTTGAGGTTTTCCCTAGTTATTGTCAATGTAAACAAAAATCCTACTGGCTCCTGGATTGGACGGAATGGCTCCTGATGTAGAGATATTTAGGGTGAGATGACGGGCACAGCCATGGGATCAATAATGGAGCCAAGAACTGGAAAATGACAAGGTCCATGATTTTAAGGGAAGGACCCATTTAAAAAAAATAAGGCTCCCCCTTATACATCAGAGTCCCCCTTGAAATCAGGAGCCCCCCTCTTTAACATCAGAAGCCCTCTGCACATCAGGAGCCCCCCTCTTTTACATCAGAAGCTCTCTCCCCATCAGGAGCCCCCCTCTTTAACATCAGAAGCCCTCTGCACATCAGGAGCCCCCCTCTTTTACATCAGAAGC